ATCTGGAGATGTAAAGGGGTGTGGTGCGTGAACCGCTAGCCGAAAAGTTCAGGGGCAGACGCTGCAACTGCGAGCGAAAAGTTCCATTGGATCAAAGATAATCTGACACGCCTTTCCGTCTCCAAGAACTTACGTTTTAAGATTTTTATTAGGGCACATTAGTAGTGGAGGCAAATTGCCTAGATGTCCCTATGAATTGATGTCTTTGTTGGTTTCATTTGTCACGTAACTAAAGGGTCGCATTGGCTCGTTCCTGTCTTTGGTTTCATTTGTCACGTAATTAAAGGGACGCAATGGCTCATTTTCCTCTAAAGACTAAAACAAAGGTTTGGTTTCATTTGTCACGTAACTAAAGGGACGCATTGGCTCATTCCTCTAAAGACTCAAACAAAGAGTCGGGTATACCAAGATTAGAATCATATGTAGTGAACCGATACTGCAACTGGTTAGGTTTTTACCTGTAGTATTTGCTTATTCGTGTCAGTGTTAGTCTAAACATTAAAAACTAAACAGTCACATGTTGTTTAGCTATTTATTCGAGCTAAACGACTATTTAAACGGACTAAACGGGGTAAATGGCTATTAAATGGACACGTCAAGCCATTGTGTAGCATTTACACTAAGTGTAAACGGGCTAAACGGCCGTGTAAGCGAATGGTGATTTTGTGTTCTACTCAGCATGGAATATGGATGGTAGCATTTTTGGCTAATTATTGGCCCCGTTCGCTTCGCAGAAAAAACAAGCCGAAACACTGTTCCGACTGATTTGTTGTGAGAGAAAAACATTGTTCCGACTAAAAAAAAAACAAGTTGAAAAAGACGGATTATAAGAGAAACGAACATGGCCATTATGTTTTTTCAATGGTACACGACACGTTTATAGGAAATCCCCCATTCCACATAGATGCTTGATTTTTTAAACTCTTTGTACCCGCATATAGTTATTTTTACTGATAGGTTTTTTTTTTTGCTTAAGTTCATAATTACGGATAGGGTCTTAATAATTGTTTGAAGAAACAAAGATTAACGAGGTAGAGCAGGGAACAGAGCAGGGAACTTAGCGAGACATCTGTAGTAACTAGAATCTGCCTATCGAGATTTAAGTCTTTGATACTAATGCTAGAATTTTCAACTAATTCTTTTTATAGTGGTATAAATGATGTACGATGGCCTGTTGCTTGAGATCCTGCTTGAGGTTGATTAGTATGACAAGAATACTATGATAGTGTGTGAGAGTTTTGCCGAAAAAAGAAACGTGCAAACACATATTTGACATAAAGGTTCGAAGAAAGAGCTAAGCTTGAGTACACTTGAAATAAATCAAAAGGCGATTATTGTAGTTGGAAGAAGCTCACCAACAAGGCGACTGATATTGAATGGGATGAAAGAAAAAAGAACATTGCTCGCTAGAGAGTTGGATAAATTCCGAGATGCCACGAATTGATCATAGATTAGTTGGTTGGGTTTCTTATGCTAGAACCTGCCCACCAGGGTTAAGTCCTCGACTTGGCATAAGTGTTCGCATTTTCCGTTTGTTCATAGGTGTGAGTGTGTAAGAATTCTCAAAAAATTCCGAGATGCCCATACAAGGGCCATCTATCTTTCTAGATCACCGTGACTCTGTAAGCATATATGTTTTGTTATATTGTAATCCCCGTCCATAAAAAAAGCAATTCTAACTTTTTTTTAAGATTCGAACGATTTAAAGTTTGATCAAAATTATATAAAAAATAACATTATGATACAAAATAAATATTATTAAATTAATTATAAAATATATTCTCGTTGTAAACCTCGTTCAAGACAAACATATTAAATCTATTCACTATAAACTTGGTAATTTTACTTACACAAATCTCATAGTTATATTTTTGTAGACCGAGTGAGTACCATGATATATGATGTTGATTTGCGTACTTTTGTTAATATATAATCCTCTACTAGTTAGGCCATGACTCTACTGTATGAACAAGACACTAATAATTCTTATTTTTCCTAATTTTACATACACTCAAATATAGTTCGTTTGACTTTTTTACCCCAAGTTTGACCATTCGTCTTATTCAAAAATTTGTGCTAAATATCACTTCTTTTGTTGTGACTTATTTTATTAACAAAAGTTCTTCAAGAATGACTTAAATTTGACTATATTTGCATAATTTTTAAATAAGACGAGCGATCGGGGTCAAAAAAGTTAAAAAGAATTATAATTTGGAACGGAGGGTACAAACATACACAATCGTGCGATAGTCGGTGGCATTTTAGACTTTTATAGGAGCTCAGCCAAAAGGGAATCGCCTCCGCCTCCGGCGCCGCAATGGCGAGAGACAGATCTCGATCCCAATAGAAAACCTAGGCGCGGTATTGGTACACCATAGGAGAACCAATTTTACCTAGACAAGGGTGGCCTGCTCCTCGAGCGGAACCACGTCCACGTCACCCGGAATTTCCTCGTCCGTTGGATCTCGCGATACATGACCATGATTTGCTAGATCTGCTTCCAATAGAATCAGCTTCTCGTGCGTTTTAGTACCTTCCGCTCCTCCTCCTCCCCTATAAAACACAGCTCTTCGTATAATCTGGCTTCAGCTTCTCATTTTCCTTCCCAAATATCTACCTCGGCTTCTCCACAATCGGTGGTTCCCTCTTACCGCATCGGGAACTTTCTCTTCCCCTCTCTTTTTCTCTCGTGACTCCCTCCCCTCCCGACGTGAGCGGCGGCGGCTGGGGCGATGGCGCCGGGACGAGCGGCCCAGCGGATGCTGCAGCCGCCCCCTCCTCCTCGACGCCCCCTCCTCCACGGCCCTCCCTCCTCGCGCCGCAGGGATGTGGCGATGAACGGATGGCCGTCCTGTCCGCCGTTACTGGCCACGGCGCACTGGAGCGGGCCCTACTGGATGTCGCCGGCGCGGCTGCCCACCATGTGGCCTCATTCGTCTGGTAGTTTTCTCTCGTGCTCATGGAACACTAACCTTAGGTGCCACCCCCTCAGGTTCGTTCTTCCTCCATCTGCATATGTTGTTCCATCTTAGTTTTCTCTTCTATCAGGTTGACGCAGTAGATGATGCCTACGGATTATATTTGTTCTATTATTTCGTCGGCGCTCCGATCTATGCCAAAGATTTCATATTTACTGTATTGTTTACTACCTCGACGTTGAATCTCTATTCGACATATTTATGAGACTGCTATGACTATGCAGGTAATGGTGGATTCAGGAATTGATGACCGATTCATGTTTATGTCCACATGACTCATTATTTATTTCTGACAAAGTCTCTCATTTTTATACATGCTCAAGTTTATTTACAGTTCCCTTTATTTTAATTGAGGATGATGATCCGAAGGGCGATTTGAGAACCAATTTTTGGGCTCTAGGTAAAAGGATAGTGCTCTTCTAGCAAATCATATACAATATACTACTGCTATACATGTAATTTCATTTATTTATGTCTTTTTTGGGCAATCAGTTATCTACTTCGGTTGATTTTTTGGGTAACATTGCAGAGCCTACCAACCTTTACAAGTCCGGTTGAGTCAGTAAGCTTCAACGTTATTGCGCTAGGTGCTGGTGTGGTAACTTGAACAATACAAATATGAAATTTTGAGGAGGGTAGGTTATAAAACTATCTGTTTCTTCCTCACAAGGATACTACAGTCATAGGTGTACAGTTGTGTGATGTTGTGTGATGATGGTGGAAGATGGGTTTGTGCCCAGAGCAGTGTGGTCGTGGACCAACGAAGCACTCTACCAGCTTCATCTTTGTTCTTGATGCCTCTTGATTCATGTAGATCCTTATATATAGTGTTCATTTTTATAGTGGTAGCTAGAGGTCCAAAATATCAGGAGCAATTTACTTTCACACTATGTCTTTCAAATGTATGTGTCGGATATTCTGTTCTCTTTGTCTATAGTGTTTCCATTTTTATAGTGATAGCTAGAGGTCCAAAATATCTAAGGAGCAATTAAATTTCACACTATGTTATTTGCTTATGTGCTTGACATAGTGTGTTTGCTGCACAGGGAGCACCAAAATAACTGAAACTAAAAGGCGTCATGAAGGTATAACTTCTCAGTTGTCCTCTTCACACTTAGTGATGCTACAAGTAAATGTGCCTGTTGATCCTGGTTTTTTTCTTTTGCCCTCTTAAATTCTTGGTTATTGCAGCTTTGGTGTTCTGCTATAGTTTATCTAGATAGTACTGCTGGTGAGGCGATCCATCGTTGTCATTGACCACGGCACAAGGACAGATTAGCTCATGCTCAAACAATAATATTTAATTGTTTCAGTCCAGCACCAACTAGGTCTCACAAAATGATTCAAGTTGATGATGATGACCTTAATTTTTTTACCTGCCTAGAGCAAAATATGTGCTGATTGCTGAACTAATGAAGCTTCAGATTTGGCTCTATGCTTCAGTTGCATACCTCATTAGGACATAAGTAAACCAAATTGGTATGTGTGTCACGTAATTACACTTCACAACTTATGGTCATTAATTGTTGGCACTTTCCTGTATGATTTGATATGTTTTAAATCATAGTACACATATAATTTCAATATCAATTACTTGACTGCTATACTGCTTATGTAGTGACGAGCAACATTGTGATCCATTATTGTTCTCATGGTCCAAAAATAATTTTGAATTCTTTAATTCCAGCACCAGCTAGGTCTGCCAAAATGATTTAAGTTGACCATGATGATCTTATTTTTCCCAGCTACCTGCAATGAAATGGTATTGTCAATTAATGAGGCTCAATTTTTGGTCTGTGCTTTAGTAGTATACCTCAGTCAGACATAGATAAAGCATTTTTTATGTGTATCATGGCTGCCATTTTTCACTTTCCAGCTTCTGATCTCATTAGCTAGGAAAAGATAATGCCTGCACTTCACTTCAGTCAAACATGTTTTAGTTTTGGCTTTGGCTCTTGGCATCTCCAATCAGTTTCATATGTACAATAATATTTTTAGGAAGTGTTTGGAGTTAATTAAGAAATGGAGAAATCTGTTCAGTTGGTAAGTATCAATATGCAATTTTTAACTATAAGTGGTTAGCGTGCTTTTGTTTTCATTAACTTTGTAGAGTGTCACTAATCAATGAGTGCTGAAATAACCATATTTTGATGCTACCTATTGATTTGGTGCTTTTTTCACTACTACAATGATTTAAGATATGTATACCTCTCAAAATTAACCTATCTGAAATCATTGTAATAGATTTTGATTATTTGAAATTGACGTGCAGGGCCATGTAGTGGATTCTCTAGCTGTTTATATGGAACCTCAGAGATATGTATGCCTTCCAAAATTAACCTATCTGAAATCATTGTAATCGGTCTATAGCATACAATAAAAAACAAGGATTTAGGTTGTAGTCCTACTATTTCTACATGCATGTCATAGGGAGATGAAAAAGATTATTTCTGTTTAATGAAGCCAGGTAACCACTCCTGCAGTCCTTTTTGCTCAATTTCCTGACCTGCAGAAGAAAGGAGAGAGGTTTGGTTGATTTCACAAGATGTGTTTGGTCACGTTCTAAAATTACTGTGTGCCTTCTGATTGGCAACCGTACTGCATTGCCATATGTCGATATAGAAATTGGTCCATGGAGAAAGGAGAGAGGTCTGCTTGATTTCATAGGATGTGTTTGGTCACTTATAAAAAATATTGTGCACCTTTTGAGTAGCACACCTGGTGCACTTCCATATGTTGTATAGAAATTGGTGTCTCCATGGCATTACTTTGGACTACATAGTTTCCTTGTTGATTTGTCTGACCTTTAGTTTTTTACTAATTGATTCTTGCCTCTTAGACAACCATATAGCTGTAGGGAAATATACATATGTTTACAGCATGCTGGTTCTTGAAAAAATTGCAAAGAGGGTATACAGGTTTCGGATCTGAACAAAATCAGAGGCATCAACCTTTTTGTGTTCATAGCAAGCTGAGATAGGCATCATTAGTTTGACCAATGTCAAAAGTGTGATAAATTTCCTTTTTTCTCATCTGTTGCGGCAAAATTGTGACTCTTTTCGAACCAGTGAAGCTGGATATAATTCCTGGCATATGTCTGCAAGGCCGGTTTGGTATTGATTATGGATTTTTTGGTCTCCAATGGATCCTGCGGTCACGGTAAGTCTGATTCAGTACATTATTTTGTCCTATGCCTTATACATATGCTTGCTGAGTACAAAGCCATCATCAATACTATTCAGAGTTTGTATGGCATCTGATAGGCAAGTTAGTACTAATGTTTTACTGAGTACAAAATCATCATCATTGGTTCTCTCTCTTGCGCTAAAAAAATCGTCCTCTGTGTCTCATGATTTCTTTACTTGGTGCAGGACATTTTAATTTGCTACCGATTCTGCGGTCGCTATCGCATCGTATCTTTCATCTGGTCTTGCCATCGGTGTGTGTGGCGTGCCTAACACAGTGATCGATGCGGTGAACTGTACTCATAATCATAGTCCAGCTTGGATGGAAGTCATATACAAATTTGTGGTTCCTCATCGAGGATGCTGGACTAAATCAGGTCGCGGTTAGCCACCAATACGGACGCGTGTGTTTTCTTGTTGAAGTCCCGAATGAAAAGTCAAGCAGTATAATGATTGGTCTTTAATGTGTTCCCTTTTACAGATCACGTAGTGGATGATGTTCCAAGGCAGGCACATAGTGACTCAGATCCTGAGGAGCAGCCTGTGCAGGGCAAACACAGTGATGTTGATTCAGAGATTTCAAATACAAGCAGGTGTAGAGTCTGAATTTACAACTCTACAAGGTTCTACAGATGAAGATGCCTTTCTTCCATACAATCTTGATGCAATCTTGAACCCGTACAGCCCTAAAGCCATTTTCACTCCTAGCAACGCCCCTAGCCTGCGGTGCTGGTAAGGGCCCTACTCAAGTCATTGTAGCCTTTGATTTCATCAGAGGTGCCTCTAAGTCCTGATGTGTTATCTTCTCCTTGATTGTTGCTTTGGTTTTCTTCTTCCCCCAAATTATTGTCTGCCTACACTATGATTTGATACTGCTGCTTCCTAGCCATGTGAACTCCTGCCTGTGATCATATATTTGTATGCACCATGTAATATTTCCTACCTTGCAAATATGCACCCTAGGCTACATTCAGGATTACAGCACTCATATTCTCTCTTTTAATTGCAGTCTGGTAATTACCTTGAACTAAGCTCTGATGAACTTATTTTTCAGCAAAGAAGCTACTGAGAGGACCTCCAACCAATCTTCCACATCGACAGCAAAGGCCAAAGCCAGGAGAATGGGGTTTCAGCTTCAGCGCAGAGCTTTCATGGTTGGTAAATAAAACACTAATATTCTGAAACGTTTTACTGAATCTTGCTCACTTTGGCTCAGACACTCACCTGAATTACCACCTGAAAAACAGGTCAGTTACAAGAAGACCGCACGAATATGGAGTTCTGATAATCAGCATAGACCAACAACCGACCGAGGGAGCAATCTTTACATAGCAAAATCTCCATATTTAGAATCATGTATCGTTGCACGGGTTCGCGCGCCCTCATACTAGTGCTAACTATTGTGTAGATTGTTGCTCTAATATGAAAAGGGCAGATATACATGCTCATATTTTTTAGGTGTTTGAGTTGTGCAAGTTATCTATTGGAGATTACTATTGCAGGAAATGTAAATTATTTGGACGGCATAGTCTACACTCTACTGTACAGCCATGCGAAGTCCTTTGAACTCAATTCCATAATTTGAATAACCCACTAAATAAACAATATTTGCATGATGCAAATACAAACAGACCTTATTGGTCCATCAATAGTAGTCGAAGTTAATGAAGCAAACCACTTGCTTTGATTTTTGCGTGACCACATATCAAAAGTACCCAAATTACCAATGGGGTGGATCTAAATCATCTGGTTGGATGGAACTCTCCATTTACTCTTATCAAAGCAGTTTACTTTGGCCGCCAGGAACGGCATCCACATCGGCCTGAATGACCCCAACCGTCCGATCCTCGATCCCGTGGCCCTTATTGCTTGAAGCGGATTCTCTTCGGAAATAGCTTCTACCGCTTCTCGTGACTTTCTCTGGCTTCCTCTTTTCTTTTCTTTAGCTCCTTTGGCTTCTCGTCCGAATCCACAAGACCAAATATATACCCAGTTTCGGCTTCTACTACTACACAATTCCCCTTCTCGATTCTTCTCCTTCCCGACCTCGAAGCTTCTGCTCCCGCACACGTCGCCTCCGCCGCATCCGCGCCCACCTTCCCTTCCTCTCTCTCCCTCTCTCTCCTCTCCCTCGCGCCACGAAGGCAGTGCAGTGTCTTGGCATTGGGCCCGGCGTCGTCGGATGGCGATGCGCCACCTTGCCGGGTTTGGCGGCGACGGCGACCTTGCTTGTCTGCGGCTTGTGCAGGCGTGGCCCCGACGGCGGTGGACGTCCTCGGCCACGGAGCGGCACGACCGGGCCATGTCGGTAGCCACCGGCGCTGCTTCCCCCGCGCTGCCCCTTCCCGCCGCTCCGCGTGTGCTCGACCAAACCCTAGCTGCCTGTGCTCGGCGGCCATGCCCCTAGCCGGGGGTGGGTGCGAGCCACGAGAGAGGTGGCCACGGACCGACTGCTGCCCAATTGCTGTACAGGTAAAGGTGCGCTCTCTCTCTTGCTTCCCTCCCCTCCCCTTGCCGACTACGGTGACGGATGGCCAGATCCGTCGACTGCATGGTTGGATTTGTCCGCTCCCCATTCAATCTATGCAGTGAATCGGGTGCCAAAAAATCCCTTTATCTCCTTTCCTACCTTATGTCTCTGATCCCTTGATTTCATTTCCTGTATATATGGATTTATTTTGCTTATGTATAAGGTTTGTGCCGCTGTGTTGATGCTGTAATCTTTTCATCAGTATATATAAGCCAAGTTTTTCGAACCGGACCGGACCGGCGGTTGAACCGCTAAAAGACCGAACCAGGGCCTACACCAGTCTGGTTCACTTAAAAGATCGTCCATGCAATCGAACCGCTAAAAACCGGTTAAACCGGCCGGTTTTTTGTCGAACCGGTGAACCGGGCGGTTTCTCATGTGAATCTGGGCGGTTTTTATTTAGTCAAAAAATACCTCTCTGGTAGCTCAGAGAAGGCTATCTGTTCAGGGGTAATAATGGAATAATGTGTCCTTTGTTTTCTTTTTAGGTTATCAGGCGTAGCGTGAGGGAGGGAAAAATTCCCCATTTTCATTCCAGCCGGCCGCCATTTTCATCACCTAGACCTAGCTTCGACGGCCGGGCGGTGGCGCATCGAGCAAGCGCCCGGCGAAAGGTGAGGTCGGGCGTTATGAAGGGTGAGCGGGCGCCTGTGCGCCGTGCGTCATGTGGCATGGTGAAGGGAATCGCGCTGCCGTCGTGGCGCGAAGCTGTGCTGAGCAGGCTGCGCGCTTGCTGTGCGCTGGCGGAAGGCGCGGCTGTGCCGTCGCGGCTGCAGAGCGGCGGCCGTCTTGTGGCCGTGGGCGTGGCAAGGGGCAGCTGCTTCTAGCCTGCTACGATTATGACAGTACTTCTTGTCTCTGCTCTGCTCCACGCCTCCAAGTCCAACATGGCTACTGGTGAGTTCAAGTTTTAGATTTTAGGTTTGAATTTGATGCCGTATATAGTAGCATCGATGATGGAACATGGAACATGGAAGTAATCTTGGATGGTTCGATCTAGAACTTAATTTGTGCATGTTGAAGCTCTCTGTTAGTATATTAGCCTACTGTTATATATATATATATATATATATATATATATATATATATATATATATATATATATATATATATATATATATATATATATATATATATATTAGCCTGCTGTTATTTGATTTGATCTAGTGAGTTCATTGGTGAAGCCCTCTGTTAGTATGTTTAGTGCTAGAGTAATAGAGTATACTGGTTAATTTGTTACTGACTAAGTTCAACATTTTCATTCATGTGAAAATTGATAACTTTCTTACTGTTTTTTTGTTTTCACACACAGTTGATTCTTCGGACACTCCTACTCCAGTTAGGACTGAAAATTCTAACCAGAATTCAACCCCATCCCAAGAGGCTGCCACAGAAGGAAGGACAAGAAGGAAAACTGATCCAGCATGGGGATATTGCACACAGATTATGGAAGGAGGGAGAAAGAAGATCAAATGCATGTACTGTGACACGACTTTCTTAGGAGGAGGAATCCATCATTTCAAGGAACATTTGGCCAAATGGCCTGGTAATGTAGCTGCATGTAAGAAGGTTGATCCTGAGGTTGAGCATACAATGTATAAACATATTGAAGATTGGAATGAGAAGAAAAAGAAGATGCAACAGGAATATGTGGAAGGGCACCCATATGGACCAGAACCTAGAGATGAAGATGTTGTTGAAGTCTCCAATACCAATCCTATTGTAGCTGCATCAAACAAAGGGAAAAAAAGACCGGCTGGTACTACTACTCCTAGTGTTGGAAAGTACTTCAAGCCTAGAACTAGACCAGGGGATCAACCAACACTTAAGAGTGTTCTTGAAGGAGAAGTGGTCAAAGAGAAGACAGATATGTGTGTGACAAGATGGTTTCTCGATGCATCTATTCCATTTAATGCAACCAATTCTGTTTTTTATCAGCCGATGTTTGATGTTGTGTGTGCATTTGGTTCTGGATACAAGGCGTCGCTTTGTAATCAGATGCGTGGTCCATATCTTGCAAAATGTGTTGAAGAGACTAGGAAGTTTGTTGATGGATTCCGCACACATTGGAGAGAAACTGGTTGCACTATTATGGCTGATGGATGGACTGATAGAAAGAGAAGGACCCTCATCAACTTCTTGTCTACTGTCCCAAATGTACTGTCTTTCTTAAGTCAGTTGATGCCACTGATAGCTCCAAAACTTCAAATTTTTTGTTCAGATTGTTCAAAGATGTAGTTAATCATGTTGGGCCTGAAAATGTGGTTCATTTTGTTACTGATAATGCATCAAACATGGTCGCTGCTGGTAGAAGGTTACAAGATGAGTTCCCATCCATTTATTGGTCCCCTTGTGCTGCCCATTGTGTGAATTTGATATTGTTAGACTTTGGTAAGGAGCATTTGGTGAAGAATACTGTAGCTCATGCATCAATCATTACAAAATATGTGTACAACCATTGCTTCCCATTATATCTAATGAGAAAGTACAACCATCCATTTATTGTGTCCAATACGTTTTTATTGAGTACCATGCTTCATGTGTTTCTATCTTATCATCACGCACTTGATATTTGAATTTACGAACCTGTGATTGTGAGACTATGTTGCTATGAATCTTATGGTTGTGTCTTGTCAGTTGTCACTCTTGTGTGTGAAGATGAACCTATATATATATGTTATCATGCACTTTGTATTTTGAATTTAAGACCATGTCAATTTGTCATCCTATATTTTCATGATGTGTGAACCTTGTCCTTATGGTCGTACAATATAATTATATTATTCTATCTGTCAATTATATATATATATATATATATATATATATATATATATATATATATATATATATATATATGCACCGGTTCAAAGTATTTGCGGCCGGTTCGATTAATCGGTTCAATTAAATTGAACCGGCGGTTTAATCGGTTCTTAACGGTTGGACCAATGAACCATTGAACCGAGGACCTCGCCGGTTCGATCTCCGGTCCGGTTCGAAAAACTTGGTATATAAGTGTGCCTATGGTGCTGCTTTATTTATTTTAGTCTCAGCATATGTCGTTGCTGATGATGTACCAATTGCGGTTTGAGCATATGATGGTGGTACTGTGAGGTGCTTCTGTTAAACCTAACCATATTTTCGTGCCTTTGCTATTTTGCATTTTTGGTTGACCGTATGTCAATGCCAATGATGCTGGAGATAGATACCTTTAGTGTGCCTATGGTGTTGCTTTATTTATTTTAGTCTTAGCATATGCCGTTGCTGATGATGTATCGATTGCAGTTTGAGCATATGATGGTACCTATGAGGTGCTTCTGATAAACCTGACCATATTTTCGTGCCTTTGCTATTTTGCATTTTTTGGTAGACCATATGTCAATGCCAATGATGCTGGAGATAGATACCTTTTTCTAAAATATAGGAAGTGATTTTCACCAACATGAATGGGTTGTCCTCGAGCGAATCCCAGCTGCTTTGTAGAGTTAAATAAGAGTATGCAGTCATGATTATGCCTCTTTTATGATCTTTGCAGAGCTGCTAGTGAGGCATTCCCATATGCCAAAGCCGACAATATTTGCATGCCATAGCTATTTTACCTTTTTCCGCCACATGTCAATGACAATGTTGCTGGAAACA